TTTATTATTTTCCTCCCTCTGCCGTTCATCCTTTCTTTCTTAGTCAAAGAGGTTAACATAAAAGTGAAGTAAAAAAACAGTGATTAACAAAACCACAGCATAAGGAGAAGAACCAACGTGAGATCTGCCAATGAAAATGTCCCTTCTCCCCAGGGCTAAGCCAACCAACTCGACGGCTTCTTCTGAGACACTGGCAGGCTACCAGGTGAACAGTTCCACACCTCCCCAGACTCACGGCCGTCTGTCTGTAACACATTCCTGTTGGTTTGACTGGTTCAGGATTATTCCAGAAAACTAGACTATGCTGGTGCTTTGCTGAAGGACTGTCTCTACAAATAGGCCACAACCATCCTTTCTTCAGGGAAGAAGACTTTTCTTATTCCAGATTCAGAGTCACACATGTGCATGTTTCAGGCTCTTGTGCACATTGCATTCCCTTCATATTTCTTCTACATTTCAAGTTCTCTGGTTATAGTAAACAAGTCCTTTTAACTTGTCCAGTTATTATTAATAAAACAATGAAAACATTTAAAATATGGTGGGTCCTGCCGTAACTACAGAAGTAAGAATCTTTTTGTCATTGCCAACAGCCACAGATAGGATATTACCTTTCTTCTTTTAAATTTTGCTCAAATACTCTTCTGTTTTCCTGCAAATTGTTGCCAGTAAATACACACAGCAAACTAACAATACCCACTACTAAGGGCTTCCTATGCCAGGCACTGCTCTCAATCCCATATATTAACAATTTCTTATCCTACTGTCATGAAAATGCTATGAAGCAGGGACAATCATTATTGCCATTTTACAAATAAGGAGACTGAAGCACAAGAAGGCTAAATAACTTGCTGAAGACACAGAGCTAATAAGTGGCAGAGTCAGAATCCAGATTCAGGCTCTTTCATTCCAGGAAGTATGCTCTCACTATTTGCCGTAAGTAATTAGATGCAGATATCACGCAGAACTACCTGGGGGGAGTGAACTCCTTGCAAATTGACAATGAACGAAGCAAATTCTGAGCAAAGCTGTAGAACTGAGACACTCCCAACCCAGGACAGATGATTAGCAGAAACTGTTCAACATATGGAGAGGAGTCCAGAACATAGCAGAAGAAAGTCTATTCCCTTGGTCAGCTATGCAGTGAAAAGGAAACAAAAGTTTACTGTAACAGAACCCTCAATCTGTCATTCATAGTGTTTTGTGTATAATTATGCTTAGGTTAATTGTACAGCTTTTTTTTTTTTTCCCCCTGTGGTACGCGGGCCTCTCACTGCCGTGGCCCCTCCCGCCGCGGAGCACAGGCTCCGGATGCACAGGCCCAGCGGCCGTGGCCCACGGGCCCAGCCACTCCGCGGCACGTGGGACCCTCCCAGACCAGGGCACGAACCCGTGCCTCCTGCACCAGCAGGCGGACTCCCAACCACTGTGCCACCAGGGGAGCCCAATTGTACAGCTTTTGATTGAGGTTTTATGAATTATTACTTAATATTTGTATGCCAAACTTTAAAAAATTAAACTAGAGTTGATTTACAATATTATGTTAGTTTCCGGTGTACAGCATAGTGATACAATATTTTTGTTTGTTTTTGGGTTGTTTTTTTTTGCGGTACGCGGGCCTCTCACTATTGTGCCCTCTCCCGTTGCGGAGCACAGGCTCCGGACGCGCAGGCTCAGTGGCCATGGCTCACGGGCCCAGCCGCTCTGCGGCATGTGGGATCTTCCCGGACCAGGGCACGAACCCGTGTCCCCTGCATCGGCAGGCGGACTCTCAACCACTCCGCCACCAGGGAAGCCCATGATTCAATATTTTTATACATTACACTCTGTTTAAAATTTTTACAAAATAATGGCTATATTTCCCTGTACTGTACAATAAATTGCTGTAGCTGATCTCCAAAATATACAAACAGCTCATACAGCTCAATATCAAAAAACAAAAAATGGGCAGAAGATCTACATAGACATTTCTCCAAAGAAGACATACAGGTGGCCAAAAGGCACATGAAAAGATGCTCAACATTGCTAATTATTAGAGAAATGCAAATGAAAACAACAATGAGATATCACCTCACATCAGTAAGAATGGCCATCATCAAAAAAAATCTACAAACAATAAATGCTGGAGAGGGCATGGAGAAAAGGGAACCTTCTTACACTGATGGTGGGAATGTAAATTGGTGCACCCACTATGGAGAATAGTATGGAGGTTCCTTAAGAAACTAAAAATAGAGTTACCATATGATCCAGCAATCCCACTCCTGGGCGTATATCCAGAGAAAAACATAATTCAAAAAGATACATGCAACCCAGTGTTCACTGCAGCTCTATTACAATAGCCAAGACATGGAAGCAACCTAAATGCCCATCAATAGATGAATGGATAAAGAAAATGTGTTTTATATATTTATACATATATATGTGTGTACACACACACACACACACACACACACACACACTGGAGTATTATTCAGCCATAAAAAGGAATGAAATAATGCCATTTGCAGCGACATGCATGGACCTAGAGATAATCATATTAAGTGAAGTAATCCGGACAGAGAAAGACAAATATCATGATATCACTTATATGTGGAACCTAAAAAAAAAAAAAAAAAAAAAAAAAAGATACAAATGAACTTATATACAAAACAGAAATAGACCCACAGGCATAGAAAACAAACTTATGGTTACCAAAGGAGAAAAGAGCGTGGAGGAGGGATACGTTAGGAGTTTGGGATTAGCCACCACTCTCAACAGCATGTTTGGATAGACGATTAGGCCTGAAGTGCTTAATTTGTTAAAAGAAAGGTATTAAACAACCATTTTATTAAAATATGAAAATGAGAGGCAACAACAAGGAGAAATTTAAGTGCAAATTAAAGCAAGGACTGCTTTAAAAACTTTAAGTCAGTAAATCTGCATGACAAAAATCTTGCAGAAAATCTAAGAACAGCATGATGCTGCAGTAGTATCTCCTGAGCAAATGAGGAAGGTGATTTAAGAGACAGGTCACCTGTCAGAGCCAGGTTTTAACACCTCATTTCTAGAACTTTTATTTACTGTTTATTCATCAAATTTCTATACCACTTATAAATTCTCTGAATACTTTAATTACTTATCCCATGCCTTAGTGTGTGAGTGCTTGATCTTACCACAAACAGTTTTGCAAATCACAGTATTTTTCTGAAATGTAATCTCTAACCTGGGTTGGCAAGGGAAGTCCATAAGAAAGTTTAGCACTGTGGTTCCAAAAATAATAATAATAAAACAAAAAAATCACATGCAATTCCCTTTTAATGGTTTAAAGTCAAGCATTCTTTAAAAAATTCTTTCATATCTTTTCAAAGTCCTAGTAAGAAAGGAAAATTCCTTTACAAATCCACCACTGTTTTGCTGTGGACACTTGAACTGAGTGGGAAAGATCTGACAAGTCAAATCAGGATACTGGCACACAGAGAAAACGAAACAATACTCCTATCGCGTTGCTTCAGCAGGGCCTGTTTGTGCTTAGCAGTATCACATCGATTCCTTGCATTCCCGAGTAGTATATCCACCCTCTTCCATGTGCTTCATCATCAGTGATAAAACCTTGTCTTAAACTGCTTCTGCTAAACTGCTCGTAAGAAGCAAACCTTCTCATCATGGTACCCAGCACCCTAAACTCTCCCCGTTCTCCCTGCGTAGCAACCTATTTTTGGCTCCAGTATCTGTCACTTCCGAGAGCACATCACCTGTAATACTCTTCTAAAAGATCAGGCTCTCTTAACCTCCCACTGTGTCCTAATAATCCAGAAGCACAGGGGACACCCCGACATTTGTTTCCTCAACTCCTGGGCTGCCGTCACGATAACAAAACAATCATGCCCCGTGAAAATTCATGCTGAGGTGTCATGGCAAGATCCTCTGCTACTTTGTAATTCTCATATTCAACGTTTATTGATAGTTCAAAGTAGCAGAAAAGAAGAGGTGATGTTAGCTTCAAGCACTGGCTGGGCTCAGAAAGACGGTTTACTTTAGGTCAGAGAGAGTGCGTATTTATTGCAGAGAAGAAGGAACTAACAGAAAGTGAGCCAAGGTTATGTGAAAGAAAATCAATGGAGACAGATTGCAGAGGAGGGAACCAGAGCTTAAATCTGTGACAGAAATAAGAAGGGAGCTTGGCGAAGGAGAGACAGTATCTCCTCTGAGTCAGAAGAGAAGACGACAAAAACACAGGTAACTGCTGAGGTGATGAAGGTAACCGAGGGGTCCCAGCATAGACTTGGTTTCAGTAAAATGAGAGCAGGACAATTACACAGGGGTGGGGATTGGAGTGATGGAGAAAGTACTAAGGGACTTAAAAAAGAGACATACTTGTTCTGAAGAGAAGGAAACCAGAACTTTTCAAAGTCACAGAGGAGAAAAAGAAGCAGGTGTATTATGCAGAGCAGATATATACAGCCTTCACAACAGACTATCTCAAGGAAGCTGCAAGATGCCTGGAAAGTAGGAAAATGATGTAAAGAAAAGTTCTGCTAAAAAGTGACAATTTTGTAAAAACTGACTGGAGAGTGTGGCAAATATTAATGGTTAAATATGGGGGATGGGTATAAGGAGGTTCATTATACTATTCTCTACTTTTGTGTACCTTTGGAAATGTTTATAATAAAAAACGTTTTTAAAAATTGCCTAGCCATCGTATGACCTCAGGAGCAATGGTTATCTTCCTCAGAAAGCTCAACAACTTGCCAGAACTTTCCAGGAGGTTTTAGGAATTTCAGAGACACAATTGTATACCGATACACATACTCTAGAGGACTTCAAAATTCAATGACAGGGAGGCAAAAAAAGTTTCTATTTGACCAGGATTTGTCCCAAATTTGTTCTAAGGAGTGAGAAACACAAGTGAGCATTAAAATTAGGCTAAGTGGGTCAGGCATGACAAACAGGGCCAGAAGATGAAAGCGATGAGGACAAGTATTTCTACTAAGCATATGCCTGAAGAATAATAGTATAGAACTTACTTCATCTCCAGAACTTCCTCTAAGTGTTTTCTTCTCTCGGCCCGAAGGTTGGTCAAATGAGTTTCCTTCTCTGCCAGTGACTGCTGAGTGCAGGACAGCTTCGCCTTCATGGACTCCAGCTCCTGTTTTACCTTCTCCATGGCCATCAGTAACTCCTCCACCTACGATCAATACAGAAAAGACAGAAACTGAGCATCTGGGTCAGGTATAGTCAGAGGAGCTGGGCAGTGGGCAACGCCTGGGTCCACAAAATTGAAGACACACCCATCAAAAATTCTGTACTCTCACAGGATCAGACATAAATGGCAGTTAAAGAAATACACCTCTCACCTTCCCTCCACTATAATTCTTCTCAGTTCAGGTCCAAAAAACCCTCACTTTTCTTTTTGACAAATGTAAGGGCATCAGAAGTAACACTGTGCCAGAAACAATCCCTTCTAAGGAATTTATCTGGAAACAGTGCAGAAACTTCCATGGAAATAACAATATAATGCAGATAAAAATATAAGGAACAAAATCATAATAAATATTTCTAGAAGGATTTTAGGAAATAAAAGCCATAAACTTGACTAATACCAGATGCAGAATAAACATAAATGAGTCATTTTTATTCGTTCAAACTAAGATTCTTCTGTTTACACCATTACAAAGAATTTCTTGTTAAAGAAACAGCTAGAATTCAATCGGACAATTTCCTGCTCCAAAGCTAGGTAGGCAGAGATTTTTTGAGGAAGGCAGGAAGAAAAAAAATATATGACCAGACAGAGAAGAGACAGAATACTTTTAAAAGACCTGTAAAGGACTTCCCTGGTGGCGCAGTGGTTAAGAATCTGCCTGCCAATGCAGGGGACACAGGTTCGCGCCCTGGTCTGGGAAGATCCCACATGCCATGGAGCAACTAAGCCCGTGCACCACAACTACTGAGCCTGTGCTCTAGAGCCTGTGAGCCACAACTACTGAGCCCACGTGCCACAACTACTGAAGCCCGCACGCCTAGAGCTCGTGCTCCACAACAAGAAAAGCCACTGCAATGAGAAGCCCGCGCACCGCAACGAAGAGTAGCCCCCACTCACCACAACTAGAGAAAGCCCACGTGTAGCAATGAAGACCCAACACAGACAAAAATATAAATAAATAAATAAATAAATAAATTTATTTTAAAACAACTAAATAAAATAAAAGACCTGTAAAAACATGAGAGAAAGAAGACAGGATGCTAAAACACAAGAAACTAAGAGAGCAGGTTCTGTACTTTATCAGTTATTTCCACTTACTCCGGGTGGTTCCAAAATCAGATTTAAATAAACATGTTCATCTTAATTCAGAGGCAAAAATATGTTGCCAAAATATCTGTTATTACCTAAAAACAACCTCAACCAGAAAATCAAACAGCCAAGTATACCAATCACAAGAGTTTACAGTCAGTTTGCTACTTGACAAGAAATAATCTTGGTTATAATCCTTTCCAGAGGTAGAGGTGAGTGTAGGTAGATGGACTGGTAACAGCTGTTAAAAAGTTACATTTAGTTTTTTTGGCACTTGAATTATTTTACTTTGGGTATCTTCTCAGAAGTGATCAAGTTAATGCTCTCAGCTAAACAGCATCCTGACAGTCCCAGTTACTGTGAGATTTTTTCTTATTATGCAGATATCTTTGGATATGTATTCACATATCAGCAAGCTTTAGAACATATAACTGCCTGCCTTTTTGAAGACTGTCAATAAGGATGATTCTACATTAACAGTTTAATTCATAAAAAATCTTAGCAAAAACTAGATTAAATTATGCCCCAAGGTATACTCTTATAACACAAAATCAGCCATCAACAGCATCATTTATAGAAGGTCTAATAAATAGTGAGATGTGTCCATCTTTTATGAACTTAAGCATATCTCACAACATCTTCCTCCCATCCTGTCCTTCACTGCTCCAGGCAAGCAATGGTTATCAGTTTCTTACATAACTTGAAGAGATATCTTATACATACACAAGCAAGCATGTATAAACTATTCCTCTTTTTCCTATACAAAGGTAAGCCCACTCTATACATACTCTTATGCATCTAAATTTTTTAGTAAATTTTTATTGAAATACAACATAAATACAGAAAAATACACAAAAATTATAAATGTACAACCTGAAGAATTCTAAGTGAACAAACCTATATAAAGAGCACAGACCAATAACCAGAACATTACCATCACCCCAACCCCCCCATATCCCTTTTCTAGATTAAGAGTAACCATTATTCTAACACTCTAGATTAGTTTTGTCTATTCGTTTTAACTTTATACAAATGGAATTACATAGTATATAATTTTAAGCACAGATTTTTTCCCCCCCCCCACTGGTGTTATATCTGTGAGATTCATCTACATTGCTGGGTAAAACTGTAGTTCTGTAATTCTCATAACTGTATGATATTCCACCGTGCAAAAATAGCAAAATTTACTGAAGGCACTTTTGATAAACAGAAGTTTTAAATTTTAATGGCGTTTAACAAAATTTTTCCTTTACACATGTTTATGTTCAGAGCTTTTTGTATAATGAATATGACAGTTTTGTCAACCTCAAGGTCATGAGGATATTATTCTTTCTTCTAAATCCTTTATTGGACTATACATTCACATTTAAATATATAACATATATGCAATTGATTTTTTAATATGGTATAATGGTCAGACTCATTTTTATCAACATGGATATCCAATAGACTCAGCACTGCGAACAGAAGGACTTCACAGCCATGCTAAGAAGGTACTTTTGGCCTACTTGGCAAAAGGTCAGAAATTACTTAAAGACAACTTATAAATTATAGGAAAAATAACTTAACAATGTTTTATACTGCACATAACCACCTTTAAATTTCACAAATGATCCACCTGAAATATCATATGCACTTTTAAAAGGTGCATGTATATACTCCAGAGCTAAGAGCAAAACACACACTTACATACTCACGACCCAGTAGCTTTTGTTAAGTGCAATTAACCAACTGTATCCTCTGACTCTCCTGTGATAAGTAATCACTATTCTTAATTTGTGTACTTATTTCCTTGCATTTCTTTATTTTTACCTCTGATGTATATATTCCAAAATAAATCACTACTCAGTTTTATCAGTTTATGAACACTGAAAAAATGGTATCTACTGACTTGATTTCACCCAAAATTATGTTTATTCATGCATATAAAAAAAGGGCCCACCACAGGAGTATAACCCGGATCTAAGAGCAAAACACACACCTACGTACTCACCACTCCAGAGTTAAAAGCAATGACAGTCAACAGCACTAAGGACCACAGCTCTAAGATTACGGTTTCTCACTAAACTGAATGGGCTCCTTGGAAAAATTATTGATTCCAGATTAGGAGGCAGAAATATACAAAAGATGGACTTTGCACATGTAGTGCCAAAAAAACAAGAGAAAATAAGGATCATGACACAGAAACTCTGATAAAACCAGAAAAAACACAGCCAAAGAAAGAAAAAAAGAAAGCTTAGAGGAATACCCCTTATGACTATAGATGCAAAAAATACTATAAAATCAAAGCCAGCAAGATATAAAAATTGAGATTTATCCCAAGAATGCAAGGTTGGTTTAACATATAAAATAAGTGTAATAAATCATATTAATAAAATACATGACAAAAACCACATGATCATTTCAAAAGATATAGAAAAAGCATTTGACAATTTCCAAAACCCTTTCATGATAAAAATATTCAAGAAACTAGGAATAGAGGAGAACTTCCTCAAGCCAATAAATGGCGTCTATGAAAAACTTTTAGTGATGAAAGACTGCATGCTTTCCCTCTAAGACCAAGAACAAGACCAGGATGTCTGTTCTCACCACTTCTGTCTAATATTGTAGTAGAGATGATAGCCAGTAAAAAGTAAGCTGCAAAAAATTTAAAGGCATCCATATTGGAAAGGAAGACATACAATTTTCTCTAGCTGAAGATGATACAATCTTATAAAGATAATACTCCTAAGGAATCCATTTTAAAGAGGAAACAAATAGGGGCTTCCCTGGTGGCACAGTGGTTAAGAATCCGCCTGTCAATGCAGGGGACACAGGTTAGAGCCCTGGTCCGGGAAGATCCCACATGCCGTGAAGCAACTAAGCCCGTGCACCACAACTACCGAGCCTGCGCTCTAGAGCCCGTGAGCCACAACTACTGAGCCCGTGCGCTGCAATTACTGAAGCCCACATGCCTAGAGCTCATGCTCCACAAGAAAAGCCACTGCAATGAGATGGCCATGCACTGCAACAAAGAGTAGTCCCCACTCACTGCAACTACAGAAAGCCCACATGCAGCAATGAACACCCAACACAGCCAAAAATAAATAAATTACAATAAATAAATTTTTAATAAAGTAAACAAATAAGTATACAAAGGTTACAGGATACAAGATCAATATACAAAAATCAACTGTATATCGATACATAGACCATGAACATTCCAAAAATGAAAGTAAGAAGACAACTCCATTTAACATAGCATAAAAAAGAAGGAAACACCTAGGTATAAATTTAGCAAAAAAAAAAAAGCAAGGTTTCGGTTGAAAACTCTAAAAGATTGCTAAAAGAAATTAAAGATTTAAATAAATAGAAAGACAACACGTTCATGGATTGAAAGACGTAATATTAAGACGGCAATGCTCTCCAAACTGATCGACAGCTTCAACAAAATCCCTACAAAAGCTCTCTTTTTCCCAGAAACTGACAAGCTGATCCTAACACTCATATGGAAATGAAAGACAGCTAAAATAAGTAATCTGGGGGTGGGGGTGGGGGAAGAGGACTCATACTTCTTGACTTCAAAACATACTACAGAGTTTCAGGATGGTACTGGCATAAGGATGGACAAAGAGACCGATGGAAAAGACCTGAGAATCCGGAGATAAACCCTAGCTTTTATGGTGAACTGATTTTTGACAAGAGTGTCAAGGCAACTCAATGAGGGAAGAATATTCTTTTGATTGAAAGGTGCTTGGACAACTGCCCTATTTCTTTACATTTTAAAGTGCCCATGCCATTAACTTCTTAGCGAAAATGAGTCACTTGTCTTATAGAACGACCCACATTTTGGGTTCAGTTAACTGGGGTTTTTTTTAATGATACTATTTATGGTGTTCCTCTGGTCCTCGTGTTTC